TTGTATTGTTTTCTAGGCTTTCGGACTGTACTCAGGAGCAACTCCTGACTTGATGCTCAGGGATTATCATGGCAGCACTCAGGGAACTATCTGGTTCCCTGGTTCCAAGGATCAAACCCAGGGCCTCACACATGTGAATACTCTACCACTGAGCCACATCTCTGGCCACTTACCTTAAATTTCTCATGTAAAAGGCCAGGGAGATAGTACAGCAGGTAGGGTGCTTGTCCTGCATAAAGCCAACCAACCCAAATTCAATCCCCAGCACACCATATGGTCCCCTGAGTCCCACCAGAAGTGAGCCAGGAGTAAGGCCTGAGAACAGTCAGGTGTGGCCCAAAAACTCAAACAAAACAATGTTTTTAATGAAAAGACTGGAGAGAAGAAGAGAGAGTGTAGGGGTTAGGGCACTTGCCTTGATTCAGCGACCCTTGCTTGATTCCTGGCACTGCATGTGGTCTTCCAAACATCATCAGGGCTGACCTCTGAGAGCAGAACCAGAAGTAGCTTCTGAATACTGCCTGTGTAGCCCAAAGTATATTTCCAATCCCCAGTAAATTTAATGCAAATGTTTTTATTCATAAAATGAATGCTCCAGGAAGTGGGGGGAGGTATGTTTTCCCTCATCTCCTACAGAGTCACCCACATTCTAAATTAGAAGGGGGTATGCCTGCAAATCTCTCTGTTGAATCCCCTTCAAAACCTTTCAAGCAGGGATGCCAAGTTCATTCTGAAAACGGTAAGCACATTTGCAGGAATGATACTGTTTGGTCTCATGTTCACAGAAAATGGCTTCACTTGTCTTAGCTGAAAAAACCAAACTGGACTTCTGTAAAGGAATTTTGTGCTTATTCTCTTCTAATGCGTTCCTCTCTCCTCACTCTAACTGATCGGTGCTCCATCCACTAACTAACTTTTCCAATCATTTGATAGTTGATTGTGTTTGAGACTCACCAACAGAAGTAGCTTGAACTTGATGGCGGAGGATTGGAATTTTACATCTGACTTTTCTGGGACTGACAGTGTACTTTGTCATTATAATTAATATTAACCTGCACTTATGAGGTTTTGGACATTAAACTGATATAGGTCACTTTATTTCTTTTTTTATAACCAGCTCCAAGTAGATGCTACTATTTCTACTATTATTATTATTATTCCTAATTTATGGGGGAGAATGCTAGGATTTGGAGATTTTATTTTATTTTTACATCTTATTTATTTTGCTTTTTGTGTCATATCCAGCAATGTTCAGGGGTTGCTCCTGGCTCTGCACTCAGGAATTACTCCTGGCAGTTCTTGGGGAACCATATGGGATGCTGGGGATCGAACTCAGGTCAACCACGTGCAAGGCAAATGCCCTATCCACTGTACTATCACTTTGGCCCCAGATTTTATTTTATTTATTTATTTTTTTAAATTTTTATTAGTGAGACACCATGAGGTACAGTTGTAGACTTACAAATTTTTGTGCTTGGGTTTCAGTAATACAATGATCGAGTACCCATCCCTCCACCAGTGCCCGTTTCCCACCACCATGGATCCCAGTACCCCTCCCACCCCCCCATCCCCCCCATCCTACCCTGCCTTTATGGCAGGGCATTCCCTTTTGTTCTCTCTCTCCTTTTGGGTGCTGTGGTTTGCAAAAGAGGCAATGAGTGGCAATCATGTTTGGTCTATAGTCTACTTTCAGCATGCTTCTCCCATCCTGGGAGGATCCTCCCAACACCCTTTATTTGGTGCTCCTTTCTCTATCTGAGCTCCCTTTCTCCCCTAGCACGTGTGGCTTGGCCCCAGATTTTAAAGGTTTCTTAGAAAATTGTTAGTGCAAAAGTGGATTTTTTCCTGCACTGGTGGGTTCTTGAGAATTGTATGAAAGATTTGCATACAAAATTCAGAAGATTGAAAGTTAGTTTATTGAACATAAAAAGGTAGATGGGTCTGGGTCCCTCTCCAGATGTCCAGGCCTCTCTTTAATCCATGAACAACTTCCCTGTCTCATCCCCTGCAGCCTACTTGCTTCCCATGAGTGACAGCCAGGTCTGTCCCTTACACACTGTATCCTGGGTATGCTTTCCCACATGTGCCCAGGTGTGTCCTGTACCTGCCGCTGGCCTCCCAACTCTACCCAGCAGCTGCTGTCATCCTGTCTTGGCTTTCCTAGTCTGCGACCACGGGTGCATAGATGAGTACCTTGTCACTACTTGGGTTTCCGAGCCCTGCCTGTACCTGAGCTACCCTGGGCATCGGGGCCCTGTGTTCTGCCCCTGTCTGGCCCTGAGTGGCCTGTCTATACTGGGTCCTGTGTCTGAGATGGGAGAGCATGGGGAGGGCTTGAGGGAGGGAGAGGGGGAAGGGGAGAAAGGGAAGGGAGGGAGTGGCTTGGGGGAGGGTAGAGGCGGGAGGTTTTCTTTTATCTCAGCCAAATCCCGCTCTACATTCTGATTGACTACCATAGGTACCATAGGCAGACATTTAAAGTGACCTGGGGCTGGAGCGATGGCTCATCGGCGTTTGCTTTGCATGTGGCCGACCTGGGTTTGATTCCTGGCATCCCATATGGTCCCCTGAGCACCGCCAGGAATAATTCCTGAGTGAAGAGCCAGGAGTAACCCCTGTGCATCACTGGGTGTGACCACAAAATAGCAAAATAAATAAATAAATAAATAAATAAATAAAGTGACCTTCTGTTCCTGCTAGATCAAAGTGATCTCAGGTGGTTAAAATCCACCAGATTTGGTTTTGGGGCCACACCTGTAGTGTTCAGGACTTGACTCCTGGCCATGCTTGGGGATCAAACCAGGGTCAGCAGTGTGCTAGGGAAATGCCTTAAACTGTGGGATTAGCTCTCCAGCCCCTTTGGTTGACTGTTAGTTAGATTGGTGACACTGAGAATCCCTTGCAACCCTGATAGCTGATGATTTTGTGAACTCTTTAAAGAGCAGATTGATTTGGTAAATGTGATGGTCAGACATGGACAAATTCTGTTTTTTCTCTATACTGTCATCTTGCCATAAAAAAAACTTTACACTGAAAGTGTGTGTGTGTGTGTGTGTGTGTGTGTGTGTGTGTGTGTGTTTGGGGGGCACACCTGGCAGTGCTCAGGGGCCACACCAGCTGGTACTTAGAGGCCCTGGACAGTGCTAGGATTCAAACCATGTAGAAGCTACAGACACAAGGTAGGTGATTTCATCTCTGTCCTTTCTAGCATTGAAATTACATTTTTAATTTTCCATTTGGTATACTGATAAATGTTGCAGAGTTTAGCATATTTCAAAGAAAACCTAATTTTCTTTCTCTCTCTCTCTTTTTTTTTTTTTTTTGGTTTTGTTTTAGGACCACACCTGATGGTGCTCAGTGTTCATTCCTAGTAGTGCTCAGGGGACCATGTGATGATAGAGATCCAATGTAGTTTCCGTGCATAAAAAATATGTGCTCCAACCTCTTGAGTTACCACCTCTTTGGGCCCTCTAAAATCTTCCTTCACTTCCTTTTGTTGTTAATATAATGACTGGGGGCTATACACACTTGGTTGTGGTGCTCACATGCACAGCTTTGTTGTAGAGTTCACTGAGGGCTACAGAATTTAGTTATATTATTTAGTTGTTGAGTTGCACTTGTCACTTGGGGGCATGCTGGAGATAAAACTTAGAGTTTCTTGCTTGCAGGGCTGATGCTCTACCCCCGAACAACATCCTGGGTCCCCCTGATTTGTAACTATAAAGGTAAATGAAGACATGCCATCGTTTTAGTCCTTTTTCCCTTGCCAAAACAAAAATACCACAGATTGGGGGGCTTGAAAAATTGAGATTTATTTGCTAATAGTTCTGGAAGATGAGTATTATTACTCCCATTTTACAGACGAGGAAATGAAAACTCTTTTTTTATTTGGAAATGAAAACTCTAAGGCTCCCATTGACTCATGCAGGCAAGCTGGGAAATGCTTCCCTCTGCAAGTGAAGTTCTTAGACAAGGTCCCACTTGTTGCCTGCCTCAGTCGTTCTCAACGTTTTCACACCTGCAAACCATCATCTGTCTGAAGAGAGCGCTGGAAAACTTCTGGGGCCTCCACCACCCTCTGTAGAAGGTGCTGAGCCCAGAGCACCTCCTGAAGAGAAAGTATTCCGAGGAGCTAGGTGATGGCTCAGTGGCTGAAACCCTGCCTTGAGAGTGTGAAGGTGCAAGTCTGACCCCACCCCATGCTGCCACGTGTGCTGAGCAAGATCCAGGGAGCTCTGACGTCTGAGGTCCCTGCCACCAAGAGTGGTTTCTGGCTGTACTGAGCCAGCCTGCACGTGTGAGCACCACAACCAAAACTCTGTGACTCTGATCATCATCACATTGCCCACAGAGGGATGAGAATGGAGGAAACAATCAATTGACACTGATAATTCAAATAAGCTTAGAAATTTAAAAAAAGGAATGCATTTCTTTCTTTTTCTTTTTTTTCCTCAGGGGTTAAGTCCTGGCTCTACACTCAGGAATTATTCCTGGCAATGCTCAGGGGACCATATGGGATGCTGGGGATTGAACGCAGGTTTGGCAGCATGCAAGGCAAATGCCCTACCCACTGTGCTATCACTATGGCCCCGGGGAATGCATCTTTTCTAGGTTCTAGATGGTGGTGACCTCGGGTGACCTGGACTGCAGATTTCTGCAGGGGTTGGAGGTTGCACTTAGCAGCTGAGCTGAGCACTGCCTCTCCCACACAGCACCCAGTTTGTTTTGACGCCTAAGGAGGGCACGTTGGAGCAGCAGAGAGCGTGGTATGTGAAAGCAAAGCTCATAGATGATGGGTGAGACTGTACACATTCTCTCTCCTCATCCCACAACAAATCAGTCCAAAGAAAACACCAGAAGCTCATTAAATACTAAGGCAACGACACAAATATTTACGGGGGCAGAAACTCAAGCAACGCTAGCAAAAACAAAGACTGCATTTCAGACCTGTCTTAATTAAGCTTATAATTCTTTTCTCTTTTCCTTTTTCTCCTCCCTTATAATGTGCTGACTTTCTGACTACACTAAAATGGTGATTCCTTTCAATGTGGAGGTAAAGAATAGACATTATGCTAGCACAGAGTTAAAACCAAGGCAAGCAAAATGCACACTTGGGTTTCACTGGGCAATAATCAAGGTTTTATAAAAAAAACAAAACATTGTGTTAACTAAAATTTAATTTTTTTGCCATTAGATCTGATACTGCATAATGATTATTACCCCTAGGAAGATAAAGTCATATAAATTATTTACTCAAAATCCATTTCAGTCACATGCCTTCATGTTGTACTGTGAGCGTTGCCTGATATCACAGAAGAACCAGGCAAGGGGGAGGGAAGGGGAGGGCCTGGAGCAGCTGTGACTTCGAGCATGTCACCTGACTGTCCACAGTGACCTGTTTTTTCCACTGTCTGCAGCCTTTGGAGCTGATGCGGTCCTGCCTCTGGCTCTCTCCCCATCCTTTCTTTTCTCTTCTCTCGGCACCTGCTGAGTCAGCTGCAGCACTGCTCAACTTACGGTGGGGCCTTGTTCACTCCCAAGACACCCACGGTAAGCCATGCCCTGGCATGTCTCATTGTTATCTTTGGACCAGGTGGGTCATTCCTGAGCACCACAGGCTATTATTTATTCTGGGGTCAGTAGATGAGATCTGCAGCATCCCCCACAACCTACTTCTGATTGGTGTCTCCCAGCATTCTGACCAGTCACAACTGTACAAGCCCCTCAGCTTTTCAGCTCCCCATCCTTTTCAGCTTCTCAAGATGGGGAGTAAAGCATCTGCCTTGCTCTACGCACACAATGCCCGTGACTTCTAGTCAGCACAGCCCCTTGACCAAGTTGCCCAGCAAGCCCCAGATGGGCGCCTCACCTCTGTTTCTGCATTTCAACTCCAGGATTGCCCAGGGTCTCATGTCCACACTCTATACTCAACACAGATTTTCTGTGAGGTGTTCCCATTGATTCTGCTCATCCTGTTTTATTTTCTTTCTTTTTTTCCCTTTTTCTTTTTGGGTCATACCCAGCGATGCACAGGGGTTATTTCTGGCTCTACACTCAGGAATTACGCCTGGCGGTGCTCAGGGGACCGTATGGGATGCTGGGAATCGAACCTGGGTTGGCTGCGTGCAAGGCAAATGCCCAACCTGCTGTGCTATCACTCCAGCCCCTCATCCTCTTTTCTAAAGAGTGAGTGGGTTATGAATAAGAATCTCAGCATTCCTTCAGTGGGGTGCTACTTCATCGTCTCTCCCTGCTTCCTTACCTCTCCTTCACAGGATGGGGAGCTGAAAAAAAAAGAACTTGGGGACTGGAGAGATAGCCTAGGAGTTAGGGCACTTGCCTTGTGTATGGCTGCACTGGTTCAATTCCTGGCTCTGCATGGTTTTCCCAACACTGTCTGGAGCAAGCCCAAAGAACAGAGCTGAGCACTGCTTCTGAACACTGCTGGGTGTGATCTGACCCCACCTCAATTCCCCAAAAAGAAAGAGGACTTGGTCTTAAATTGAATGCATCTGTGGATTTAGGACCCCATTAATGAGGACATTGGATTTAGCGGATGCCCCTTCTCCTCCCTAGTAAGGAATTTCCACTTGATTGTTCTTACCACGTGGCTGACTCCAGTTTGACCTCCTGCACCACATATGGGCTCCCCCAAGCATAGCCAAGAAGAGTCACCCCTGAGTACGCCACCTCCAGAAAATTTTTAAGAATTAAAAGGAAATCGATGAGCTTTTCCTTTTACCCTATCTTTTTATAGATAAGTACATTTCAGAATGAGAATATGCTAACTCACAAAGGCTCACAATATCATTTGGTCTTACTTTGGGAAACTATGGAACAAAATGACAAAGAAGAAAGAGGGACTAATCTAAAATATGGTTTTATAAACCTTTCCTAAATGGCCAGAGAGTAAATATTTTCAGTTTATGGGCTGTGAACTCTACCATAGCAAACAACACAGCCATTGATAAGCTGATAAATGAGCAAGGGTAGGTCCCAGAAAGTCCATTTACAGAAAAGAAGTAACACTCAGACAGCTACAACAACAAGAAGAAAATATTTGGCAATGAGGAAGAGACGTCAGAATCCTTGTACACCTCTGATGGGAGTATTATGTGGTATGGTCACTATGGAAACCAGTTTGGTGATCCCTCAGAAAGTTAAAATGAAGATCAAGGGGTTTTACTCCTGGGTACCCTAAAAGTAAAAGCGGGTGCCAACAAGTTCATGGACAGTAGTGAGCACAGCAAGACCAGCAGAGAAGTAAAAAGGCAGAGGTTCCACTCATCAGGCTGCCAATAAGCCTGGTGTAACAGTGATTATTTGGACATTGTTTGAGAAACTGCTAATGTGAGGAAAGATACTCAGGGACCAAGAAATAGCCAGCACCTCCCAACACACACCTCTCCCATCATAACCCCTCCCCAGCCCAGCTGGGTGTCACTATGGTCCCCCATCCCTACTCCCAGCACACACAGACTCAACAGCATCCCCTGTAAGGGAATTCAGACTGCAGGCTACAAATTCTCATTTGTTTCTTGCTAATGAGGATTCTGCTTCTGGGTGTTTGTTTTGTCAAACTCTTCAAGTTCTTCACACAGTTCATTGTTTGTCTAAAGGGATAGAAATAGATTCCATTGTTCATTTTGTAGATCGCCTGTTCATGGGACTTTTGTATGTACAAATTATTTTTCTTCTTGTAATCTGTCACTGTCTATCAAATGATCGCTCAACAGAGAACCAAGAAAGGTAGGGGGAAATTCTTCCTTCCCTGACAGTGGGAACTCCCCAAATGTCCACCAGTGGGTAAGCAAATAGTTGTATAATGTCCACTAGATTATGATTTAGCCATGGAAAGGAAATAAAGCACTGCTACATGCTATCATGGGGATGAGCACCACATTTATGTAAAGGGAAAGGTGACAACCACAAAGGGCGCCATGTTGTATGATGAATGATATCATTTATATGAGAATCACTCCATAGAGACAAAATACAGAGCAGAAGTTTCCGGGGATCGAGGAAGGGGGAAAAGAGAAATTGCTCAGTGGGTTCAGAGTTTTACTCTGAAATGATGGAGATGTTTAGAAATGAGAGAAAGGTGGTTGCACAACACATTAGAGGTAAGCTTCTGAAATTGTTTGCTAAAAAATGGCTACTTTTTGTTCTATGAATACTAGATCAATAAGTTATTTATAAAAACCAGGCAATAAGAAGATGTGACCCATGGTCTTTTGCTGGCCAAGTCCCATAATAAAGGAGAGAATACAATGTCTGGGTGAACAGTGAGCTTTTATTGTTTGAGACTATTAAACTCATTTATCCCATGAAGAAACAAAAATAAAGCAATGTTTGAAGTGTATTATTTTCAGAGCCAAGAATATTAGTGAGCATAAAGATGCTGCCAACCCAACCAGGTGGGTTTTGGATAAATTTTAGGCTAAACTGAAGTCCATTAAATCTTCTGGTAAATTCAGTATTGAAGAACTTTTACTATTTTTAGCGCCCACTGGATGTCTTCCATTCCAATTTTGGGAACTAAAATAAATGTTTGGGCCTTTTTTGTCAACTTCCTGTTTCTAAGGAAGAAGAACCTAGAAAAGTCTCATGTAAAAATGTTCCAGAAGTTTTCTGCAACATCAAAGAATTCCACAGAAACCAAGGAATTAGTTCATTGTAAAAGAATCTGGAAGACACTGAGTAATTTTTAAAAAAAAAAGCATTACGGATGACTTTCTCAAAGACAACTTGTAGGACAAAATCAATTTGGGGTTCAACAACCCCAAGGCTATGTCTAAGACAGGAAAGCAAACTTGAGAAGACTCTGCTTATACAAAGAAGAGAACTTCTCATACAAAAGGGGACAGCTTAGCTGGAAAGGCACACAGCTTTTTTTTTTTTTTGGCAACAGCTCGATTTTTATTATAGACAATGCATTTAAAACATAAAGAAATGGTTTTCCATAAAATCCCTATATGGTTAAAGCATTAGAAATGTAAATCTATATTCTGAGGTGACTCTGGCATCTCATTTCTTTCTTTTTTTTAATTAATTAATTTATTTATTGAGTCACTGTGGGAAAGGTTACAAAGCTTTCAGGTTTAGGTCTCAGTCATGCAAATATCAAATACATTTCCCTTTACCAATCAATACTTATTTTTTACCATGAAGAACCCCAATAAAACCCCACCCCCCACCCCTCCCCGTCCCTGTGAGGCAGATGAATTCTAGTTAACACTCTTTTTGAAACAAATTTTAAGTAGAAATAGTAAATTTTAAGAAGAAACAAATTTTCTTCTCCTGTTTTAAAGGAGAAGAAAAGGGTAGAAAATAAAGGATAGTTTTGTCTTGACTTTATACCTCAGTCCAGTTTTCACAGGTGGTTGACATGCAATTGGCGGCCTTTGTCCAAGAAATAGCCAGGCTTAAGATTACCCTCAGCCCATGGAGGGGATAATGTGTCCCTGACCTTAGAATGGCTGACTTCTGACTCCCGAGTGAGGGTTGCCTCTCAGGGTACTCAGATTCTGACCCAGATGTCTGGAGTTCTGTGGTGTTGCCGTTTCTCATCACAGAAGCATCCAACTGTCCTTATGATTTTATTGGAAATGAGTTTGAGCAAGTGCCTATTTATGCTTGGCTCATTTTAACTGTGAAGGAATAAGATCTGTCCTGGGTTTTGGCTCTGGGGAATAGCACTGTAGCACTGTAGCAATGTCCTCCCGTTGTTCATCGATTTGCTTGAGTGGGCCCAGTAAGGTCTCCATCATGAGACTTGTAGTTACTGTGTTTGGCATATCAAATATGTCACGGGTAGCTTACCAGTCTTGCCGTGAGGGGGAGATACTCTTGGTAGCTTGCCGGGGTCTCTGAGAGGGGCGGAGGAATCGAACTCGGGTCAGCTTCATGGGCCACGCGCAAGACAAATGCCCTACCCGGTGTGCTAGCGCTCCAGCCCCAGGCTCTGGGGAGCAGATTGGAAAAGACTATTTCTGGTAGAAGGCTCCTTGAGAACGATAAGTCTTCTAGGGGCCCAAGTTTGCCCAAGACTCAAGCTGGTTTAGGAAGTGTTAGCTCAGGTTTGGGACTACGGATGAGAAGCTCTTGGAAGGTTGGGCCAGAAATCACA